TTTGGCCAGGGCGTGATGAGATACCGGGACAAGTGGAGAGGAAATGTTACCTTCCCCGTGGTCACTCTTTTTTGGGGTGAGTGAGACGCAGGGTTTGGGGGGGGGGGGGGAGATGCAGGAGGGAGGTTGCGATGCGGGGGGAAGTGGGAGAGTGAGTGAGAGGCAGTGGAGGGGAGAGGAAGGGGGGAGCGAGAGGGGAGAAGGGGTGGAGGAGGGTGAATTCAAATTGGAATACAATGTGCATTTAAATATTTGACGCAGTGGTATACATCCTAATACCCGTGTTTACAACAAGATCTTTCCTTGAAAATGTGCATAGCGCTTGTATTGGAGCGGGGATGTGATCTATATTTAATATGCTATTTATTTATTATTATCATTATTATCATTTTTATCATTTTTATCGTTATTTTAGTTGTTGTTGTTGTTGTTTGTTGTTGTTGTTTTGTTTGTTTGGGGTAGTTTGGGTTTTTTTTAGGGGGGTGGGCGACTTCAAGACAATTTCCGTGTGCAGTCAAAGACGGCCACCCACTCTTGAGGGGAAACGTGCTTGTTTTAGACAGGTCGACGTCTTGGATAGTCGCACTATAGAATAGAAAAAATCACAAGGGGGGGGGGGGGTTGCAGTGATCGTTTGTACAGCTGATTGTCTTAGCCAGGTGGTCGTTAGAGCAGGTCAGACTCTATGTCTTGTGTCTATCTCCCCACAGGAACTTGTATGTCTTGTGTCTATCTCCCCACAGGAACTTGCCATCATCAAAAACTCCTCCCGCCAGTCTTCCGTATTGACCAAGAACTACACAGAGCTGCTCTGTCTCTCCTCGGATGTAAGTACCCAATACTCGCTGCTATCTTTTTTTTTATTTAGAGAGAGTTTTACAGAATTTGCAACTCAAATATGTCATAAAATGCCGACGATTAGCGGTTTTTTAAGATAGTAATATGCTAAGAGAAGAAGGAGAAGAGATATGAACTACTGATGTTTAATAGGAAAGAAGGAGCAAACAACACCAGAGTACCGGCCAACCACTCACAGACCCCAATCTGTATATTATATCCCTTGGCTATCCATTTCTGCCTGTAGACTTGAGTGCGCCCATCAGTGTAACCTTTCTCTAACCCTGTGCACAAACAAGTACATGACTTACGTGTACGTGGCGTCGGTGGCCTAGTGGTTAGGCTCTCGGACTCGCAACCGTAAGGTCGTGGGTTCGAATCCCGTCAGGGACTCGACGTTGTGTACTTGGGCAAGGCACTTTGCACAAATTTTCCTCACTTCACCCAGGTGGAAATGGGTACCCAGCTATAGACAGTGAAAGATCTTGTCAGTTTGATAGTGTTTGAGCGCGTGAAATCCGCAGCTTGCACTGTATGCTTCCGCGGAAGCTGAGAATGTTTTCTGAGTGTTTTCAGAGGTTCTGCTGGGGTAATAATAGTTGTGAAGCGCATAGAGCATGCTCTTGAGCATGGATATGCGCTATATAAATGCAATTCTTGTTATAATTACATGTACCTTCTCTATCATGCTTTTAGTCCAAAGGTTTTCACATTCTAATAATATAACTTTCTCAATTCAGTATCTCGAAATAACAATTGTGAAATGGTATAGGTTTATTGCACCTATCAACACTAGTAGGTTATTAGGCGGGACCTCCGAGTTTAACGTCCATCTCCGAAAGGACAGAGCCAAGTGGGAATTTCATGTAAAGTGCCTTTCCTAAGATCAAAGGGAAGACCTCGTGGAACTTGGAGAAGAATCGCAGAAATCGATGTACAGAAAAGTGGGAAGACATGGATAACATCAAGAGGCTAGCCCAGGATAGAGAAAGGGGGAGGGTGTTTGTCCGTGGCCTATACCCTGATGCAGGGTGAGAAAGGCAATGGTGATGATGATGATGCCTTTCCCAAGGACTTACAACGTCGGGCCAAGCTGAGGCTCGAAGCCCCGCACTCGCCCATCCGCTCGATCATGACGAGTCCGGTAACCTAACCACTAGGCTACCGACGCC